AGCAGCAGCAGCAGCAGCAGCAGCAGCAGCAGCAGCAGCAGCAGCAGCAGCAGCAGCAGCAGCAGTAGCAGTAGTCGTGCAGCATAGCTATTCAGTTTTACTCTACAATAGAGCAGTTCATTTATAATCAGCTCGACTCTGTATGTTAGTCATTATTGTTGTTGTTGATTCAATTCTCGGCACTTTTTTCCTACTATATTCCACTCATTTATCGAATGCACGCGTGCAAGCGATTTTCAATGCATTCCATTTTAGCGATCTGCACATCTTTGTTTATCCTAGTGATGTTGTGTGCTGTTGTTGTTGCTGCTGCTAATGTATGTCGGCTAGCTGAGCTGTTACGTTGCTTCCAACACGTCATTTTTCGACTGTACTCGTGCACCGATTGAAAAGAGCAAACACAAGCTATGCTGGTTGGTTGGTTTAGTTTGGTTTGGTTTGGTTTGGGTGGCTGGCAACTTCGATGTGTGTATACACGAATAACTGAAGAAAAAAAAAACCACAACAGCGAGTTAAATACGAATGGAACGTACAAACCAACAGAATTTCGAAAAAAAAAATCGTTCGCCAAAATAAAATGCAGCGCAATTAAACCGAAGCCCACGATGATAATCATTTCGTTGGCTGTGAGTATCATCATCGTCGTCGTTGTCGTCGTCGATGCCGTGCTGTTGCCGTCGTCATCATCGTATGTTATTATGGGTTTGGTTGCAGCTGTATGTTTTCAGTATACATTCTGATACAGATACGATTCATCAAATATATGTATGTGTACACAAATAAGCCTGAACTCAGTTAAGTTAGGTGCTGTGAGCGCATGAGTATCGGTTTTTTTCATATATATATTCTCTGTTCACTCTCTGCACACTTCTGTCTCGCTTTGGCTCTTTTACGTATTCATTTGTGCAGCCCGTATTCGAACATCAATTTTGTTGTTGTTGACGACGATGTTCGTGGCCATTGTTCATGCTCACATATGCATACGCTTAGAAATACAATCGGTCGCAGCAGCAGCAGCAGCAGCAGCAGCAGCAAGCAAGCAAGCATATATAGAAGACTTTGTTTTATACATTTTTTCCTCTTCCTTTCTTTTGCATCGAAACTGTTTGCATGAAATTCTGCAAATGCACGAAAAGTCCAATTCGAAAACGACAAATCGACTATGTGACGTTTTTTCTTTCATCTTCTCAGTTTGATTTTCTGACACACACACATACACATACAGTTGAAGTGCAATGCTTTCTCTATTGCAATGCTGCCTCTCACTCGTTGCATTTGGCGATTAAAGTGTCGAGCAAAGAGATGACGTCTGTGCAAAATGTCATGCATATTCATGATTTGATTTCGATATATTGTAGTAGAAAGAGTTCTATCTAACCGTTTTCTCTCTGGTGTCATGCAATTCCAAACGGCACAAAGAGACACGAAGAACGGCTGTTGTGTATATGCCTGTCTCTTTGTGTTTGTCGAGAGCATGTGCCGATGTGTGAGTGTGCATGCGTCGATCTTCGCGCTTCTGTTCGAATCTCTCTGTAGAAAGTTTTGTGTGCTCGCTTCGTTCACAGCATGAGATAGTACATGCAGTAACAACAACAACAGCAACAACATACTGAACAGATTATTGAAATAAAAACGAAAAAAAAGGGGAAATCATCAATATAAACTGCTTTGGCGACAGCCACAGCAGTAACAGCAACAGCAGCAGCAACTGCAACAGCAAAGTACCACAAAAGAAAATAAGAGAGAAAAAAAAATACACACAATTACACAATAAAAACAAACCTATAGAAACAATGTGTTGTACACAAGGCATTCGGAGAGTGAGAGAATATGCGCCGTCTTCGTCGCACCGCAATCGATTGAAATGCTGTTGGAAACGGTCGACTCGATGTATCGAGTCAATTGAACGATTTCGCATCATAGATTTCGGACGTGTGGTACAATAAGAGCAGCAGTCGTAGCTAGTACAACAGCTCATCAACACTCACCCGTCATTATTAGTCTCTTTATTTAACAGAAGAAAAGAAAAATTCCAACCAAATAAATAGCCGCTTTTAGTCAAATTCAAATTAAAAGCCGAAACATTTTATTTCATCTGCATTGCAATCATATCTGCGAACTCTCAAGCCAACGGCAATAGTTCAGTTAATTCTTTCTTTTTCGCAAAGCGGAAGAAAAAAAAAGACCACAGAAATAACCGTTCATCATTGTTTTAAACGTGTGTGTAAAAAAAAATCTATTTTATTTTATTTTTTTGATTTTCTTTCTCTTTTTGCATCGAATGATCCGTGTGTAGAACACTTGAACAGAAAAAAATACACATAACAGCGCCCATTGTGTCTTACATATATGACGTGTTAAAGTAAAGAAGAGAAAAGCGAAATCGCTGTCATCGTCGCTAACAACAACCACTTGAGAAATTCGCAATTCACATCAAACAACATGAAAAACGCATTTTTCATAACGCAATAAAGTCAATTGCAAAAATTAAAAACCAACACACGCAGAATCATTAGCATTTGGCGAGTCGTCGAAACCAAAACCAACCAAACACCACACATAAAATGGAAATCTAGAACAAACGAAACGAAAACAAAAATGTAAAAGTGTACAAAAATATATTCCGCATTCGAAATTCGATTTCTTCGCGAAGCGCAAAAAGTGTGCAACGTGCCGCGTTAAAAAAAAAATTTGTTTTATTATTGCTGTATATATTTTGTTTGAAATGTGTTTGTGTTAGATGATGTTACACACTGATTTAATAGTCATTTTTTTCCCTATATCACTCACACTCCCGTCGAAATTGTTGTGGTATTAATATTTCACGCACAATTATCATATCTGTTCTTTATTTGGGTTCTTCTGCTTCGGTGTTTTATTCGAATTTTGCGAGGCGCATTTCAATCGTTCATATTCATAAGAAATATGTAGACAAATCAAATATGAATTATATGGTTTAAATAGAGGAAAGAAAAACCATTCTCGGTAAAATTAGATCAAAGTGTATTCGAAACCAAAGCAAACGAGATTAATAGTCGTCAGTTTTGCATACGACCAAATTAACCGAAACACATCTACACCAGAACAGTGTGATAGAGATATACCCATTTGACATCTCTCTTTCTCGTTCTCTTTCGATCGACACGCAGAAATATTTTTGTTCACGTGCAAAAGTGCAATTCGTTGGGATTGAAGCTGAATTTTCGTCCGTTCGCCTATAAATTTTTTCTACTTTCGTCGCTTGTTTATTTGTTAATAAATTAACGATGTTGCGTTGTTCTATGCGTGTACATTGGTAGCATCGATGGAAAAAGAAAAGATACGTCTACAGCGTTTATGCAGAGCTCTCTGAGTGGCACTTAAAAATAACACTTGAAAACAACATTTTGCTAAATCAAAATTCCTCTCTGTTGTATATATGTGAGCTGAAGCAGCGAGACAAATTGAAATCAACATCACAAACTGAGAAAGAAAGAAAGAAGAAGAAAAAAGCTTCTATACCTCTCTCTATATATACATATATGACCGAAAAAAAATAGTTCAAAATAATAATATTAAGACAATCGTCGTAGAGCGGTGTTTTTCAACAATTGCCAGTACAGCCGAACAAACAGCAAAATCACAGCAGCAACGCAACACATTGACATCCTGCCGAAGCAGCCGAAAATAAATCAGCAGAATCGGTAAGTTCAATTATTCGTTTACTTTCAATCTAATAAAAAAAATGAACACATAAAAAATGTGTGTGCGTTTGGGGGGCAGCACATTGCGAGCAAGCGTGCTCGCCGAACGTTGAACACATCAAATTGAAAACACATTGAACCACTAAATTTTAACGGCCCATCGTTTTATTACGTGCGAAATTGAGTTGCTCTTCGACCATTTCGAATATTATTTTAATATGGGAAAAGTTTTTTTTTTTTTTCCTCGATGCCTTTGGTTTTTTCGGGCCGTTTCACCAGTTGTTGAGCACCGAAAAGAAAGAAGAAAAAAAACCGAATCGGTTGTTACTATTACTGCTATATATTTCGTGCATTTTTTCTGTTCCATGACGGTTTGAACAACAACAGCAGCAGCAGCAGCAACCGCGGCGCATACAACAGCAAAAGGCAGCGATTTATTTTTGTAAACACACATCGGGAATGAAACAAAAAAGCATGGCTCTATGATTATGTATGCATTTATAGTAGAGGTGTTTATAAAGACATGAAAAGAAAACCGAGAATTGTAAACGCGTTCGTACAAGAATAACAGCAGCAACGGCATCAACACCTTGTGTCGACTTGGTTATACTGAGCCAACAAGCGCTCCGACCAAAAAATTCGAAATGATTATTTTTGTTTTCTTGCTCTTTTTTTCTCGCTAAATTACATAGTAAAATCGGTCGGCAACGTCGTCGTCATCGTCGGTTTTGTGTGCGTTTTTGTTTCATTATTTTTGTTGTTGCTGTTGTTATTTTGGCTTGCATTTGCGCAATATCGTCAAATGTGTGATATTTTTTTCACTTTAGCGAATCCGTTCAGCGTACGATGACATTATTTATCGTTTTATGTTCCCTCCTTCGCCATACTACGTATCGTGAGCCCTGTGCCCGTTTCTTCTCTGGCTCTGGCCACATATCGAAAGACCGAAAAAATATTGAGAAAGAAGAAGAAGAAATGAATAAATTCCAAAGCCAACTGCATAAATGAGAGCTTCCTGCCCATGACTACGCTTCTAGATTCAATCGAATCTCATCGAAATGAATCGGCCCGAAAAATTTCTACACAAAATCGCCGGAAAATAAAACTTGCCGCACGATACAATGAAACCAAACGAGAAAATCATGCAATTTAAATAACATGCTGTGGATTTACATGAAGCACGTAACCATTTAGCATACATACAACCACATACATGCGACTCGCTCATACACACACACAAATGCTCAATGCCGTATATTTTCACACATCGATTAGGCTACAAAACAACCGTATCTATGCGGCCGAAAATTTTACCGGGCTCTATAATCATTTGATATCCGTGTGTGTATATATATATATATAAAAACGATATACCAGTACATTGATAGTCTATAGAATTGGCAACGTGTACGATCACAGGCCGCGTGCGCACTCACACACACATACACACACACACTCTCTCTCTCAATCATCAAATCGAGTGAAGAGTGAGAGATAGCGAGTGAGCGAACAAGAGAAAGATAAAACATGCTACGCATTAACAATCGCACCGATGTGAACGGCGAGGCACATACAAACACACATACACACACACACACAATGACTCACTCACATCGAAACGGGCTCGACCACGAGAACGTGTCAATGGATTTAACAACAATATATACGGCAAAAGTTACATGCAACACACAAATACCATGCCTCTGTAGTTGTGGCTGTCATATAGCGACAGGCATTGCGCGAACGCGTATCGCAGCAAAAATTGGAAGTGTAAATAAAAAAAAACCAGGCAAGAATGTATATATATATATATATAATATATATACAGAAAAAAAAACAAAACAATATAAAAATGTATGCTTATGTTGCGACGTGGAAAATTTACCCGAAAAAAGACGGGCAAAACGTACACAGTACGCGTTTAAGAAATTGCTTCGTTCGTTTTGTGGCGTTTGTATAGTTTTTTCCTATATCTTTTCTGCTTTTTTTATTATAAAAATGTGCAGCACAATTGACATGGACTTGTATTGTATACTCATTGTTGTCTGTGTGAAGCGCAAAGTGCGTTTTACAAAGCCATTTCTTGTTGTTGTTGTTGTCGTCGTCGTCGTCATCATTGAAGAAGAAGCAGAGAAAAAAAATTGTTCGGCCAAATCGCAAAATTTTTCTTTCTATTCTGCCATTATTTTGCTTTCGTAATAAATTTCTTCTCATTTATTGCCGCTTCTTCAATTCAATTCAGCGACGGCAACGGCGGCGATGAAGATTTAGGAGCGCTATCATTGGCAACTGCCAAGTAATTTTCGCAAAGCATTACTTAATTGCAAGCATTTTTCCATTAGAAAATTTAATTTTTGGCAAAAGCCGATTTCGCGCTGATTTTCAAATGCCGCTTCACTCTTTTGTATTTACACATTCAATTGAAGTCTCGTCTGCTGCTGCTGTTGGTCTTGCTCTTATTGCTTGTTGCGATGAAAGTTTTGTAATAAATTGAAACGCATTATCCAATTAAATAAGCATTTTCAGCTCATTCAAACCCGACTAACCAACCAACCAATCGACCGACCGAATAAACGAGCGAACGAACGGATAGCATTGTTCAGAATGATCGTTCATACGAAATTAAAGTAATACATTATGTCATTTACTAGGCATTTGGGTGGATTTTTCTCATTCATTTTGTCGGGTGTATAAAATGAAAGATATTTCAAGTTGATTTTTCGAAGCCATGTCAACTGTTGAGTGTCGAAAACAAATGCTGGCGCTTTCTATCCATCTGCTTCGTATTCGGCATTTGCCGCGTAATTTTCATTTCTTTTTCTCCTATGTGTGTGTGTATTATTTTCAATCGCGGCTTCCAACAACAAAAACCGAATCCAATGGAATCTCAATTTGTTGAACAAGACAGTTAGATAATCGGCTGATGGCTCGATTCTCTCTGTCTCCCTCTCTCTCTCCTATATGTATGTATCTCTGACATTAATGTCCCCCTTTAAGCAGCAAGAGTGGAACAAAGCGAAAATAAATAAAGAGAAGGCAACAAATACACCAAAAAAAGCATACAAGCAACAATAATAACAATAAAAAAAAGAGAGAGAGACAAGGCAGAAGCAACAACACACATACACACATACACCGCAGTTTAGACACTGAAATCGACAAATGATAAACAAAAATGTGAAGAGAACCAAATAATAAACAACGCGCAAACACATACGAATCCCGTTATTTTGTGCAAACCCATACATGTTCAAGACTATTTTATATCACAAAGTGGAATGACGACGACGACAAAAAAAGAATGTAGAAAAAAAAACGAACTAAAACGAAAAAGCAAAAGAAATATAAGATTTGCGCTGTGACATCATCGACCATGCCAAAGCACACTCACACATCAGTGCCGAATCAAAAAGTAAGCGAGAACAAAACAGTAACAGTAACAACGGGCGACCGTATTCGATCCATCTATCTATCCATATTTATATTGTTTGTTGATGCAAATAGAAATGAAAATAAATTGTGTAAAAATGATATGTGTACTGGAAACCGAAAGATAATGAGAATTGACAGAGCACCGAATAAAAACACATACAGACCAATATGTACGGAGCCATAGCCAAAAGGAATAGAGAAGATAATTCAATGTGTATTCTCATGATTACACATTTTTGCTGGTAATTTTGGATGTGTGCGTAACAAAGCAGCAAATAAACAAACAACGAAAATGAGACACAGAAAAAAAAATCGTTGGGCAAACGTTCACTTGATATCAAAAACATTTATACGGCGACGTGAGCGAGATAGTGTGTGCGTTTGTGTAGTTTGTCGATTTTGTCATTTGAAAAATACCAAAAGACACACCATTATTTGCTTACATAAACAAAGCAGCCAATAGTTTTCGGCACCGCTAGCGCGACACAATAGAGTACGAAGGGAGAGAAACGGTCAAATTGAAAAGGAATCGAATTGAATAAAATTGATCAAGAATAGGCGCCCAATAAAAAAAACCCAAATGGAAAGCGAGAAAGAGAGACATCGTCGATATATTGTTGATACTGTTGACAGCTCGATACGGCCTGCTCATTGAGCACAACCAATTTTTCTCTCGCCCTCGAGTATGTGCGAGTGTGTGTGCATGTTTTGAGTGCAAATAAAGTAAAGCTTAGGCTGACGAACGCACTCACGCGCTCATTCTCGTTCACTTTATTATTATTTAAGTGAATAAAATAGCAGCAGATGAAAAATAAACACACCGTATGTTGTGCGCGCTTGTTGTTTGCTTCGTTTTTTGCTTTTTTCATTCGTTGTTGTCGTCTCATTCAATTGGGTCTGCCGTTGCCGAAGTTGTTTTTTCAGTTTTTTCTATGGTTTATTAACACACATTGGCCGCATGTTCAAATACACATTAGATCCATACATATATGGTACCCAACTCAATTTATTTGCATCGAACAATTCTGCTTGACGCCTTTCCATTGGAAATCTATGCAAAGCGCGCGCTACACGGCGTTTATCGTTGTGTGCGAACGTCAACAAGCGAGAGAGAGAGAGGAAGAGTCAAGTGACAGCGCGCATTAATTTGGTAAAATGTAAAAGTAACGCCACACCATTTATTCAACGAGATAGAAAGAGAGACACCGAACAAAAGAAAGAAGAAGAAGAAAAAACGGCAAGCAATTTAGCAGCGAGATACCGCAATATTTTTTCCTTTCTAGTACGTGATCAAGCTTCGCGACTGGCTCGATGACATCGAAACATAAATATAGCTTTAAGCAGAACGCGCACACATTCGCCCAATAACGTATTGAATCGACAGCGCGGCGATGGCGGCAATCGCAGCGAGTACCGTGCTGTTCATGCTATTCGCGACTGACAGCTCCGCCGAAAAAAAACATGCATCGAAAATAGAGTAGCAGCTCGGTCGGTTGTTTTGTACGAACGCAACGCTTTCCATTATTTTATAGATTAAACATCATCGTCGCATTCGTCGAGCTATTTTT